ATCGACTTTGTTCGCATGTGGAAGCCATGGATCTAAGAACCTATAAACGGAGCCCACGACGCGGGAATTACCAAATTTGCGGCAGATGGGCTCTATGTTTATAGTATATGCGCCGATCGAGTCGTTCCGTCGCATACTCTATGAATATATGCGTTCTGCGTAAATCATCAAATTGGTGGAATACCTCATATATGCGTTTAGCGAAAACAGTTGATTGAGCCGAGAAACGCACATATGTGTCCCACGTAAATGCGTGGGTATGGCCGAGAAACTTAACTATGCTTTGCCTATGTTTGACTGACCAAAGTTGACGTGTTCAAGAAAATCTTTTAATTTTGCGCCGTCTCCGAAAAGGTTGAAATGTATTTAATTTACTACTTAACGAGTAAATAGTTTTCATTCATATCTGTTACGTAGTTGTATGATTGAATATAATATACTACCTAACGAGTAAATAGGTTTCATTCATATCTGTTACGTAATTGGATGATTGAATAAAATAGAAATTACTTCATTAGGAAATAGAGATTATTTTATACTTTTTAGTGCATTTCGAAGTCGGTGTATCTTTTTTCTGAGAATTATTTTATATACTTTTGAGTGCATTTCGAAGTCGGCGTATTTTTTTTCTTAAAATTATTTTATTTTACGCTTTTTAGTGGAATGGGGAGAATTGTATAGGATACTGTGAGACAGTTCTTCATAATTAAGTAAAAGTTAATAACAATTTTTCGCTAATATCTCGAAAACAAGAGCTTTCTGTCAATTATGCAAAAGGAAAAAGTTGTCCAGAACCACGCCCCTAGCAACATATTCGAAGGACATTGAAATCGTTCGAAGTTGATTTCAAAACTTTTCAACAATTTTTCGCTAATATCTCGAAAACTAAAACTTTCCGCGCAATTTGTATACGAACAAAATTGTTCAGAATCATGTCCGTGATAAGATATTAAAAGCGCACTAAAATCGAGAAAAGTTTATTTCAAAAGTTGCCGGTTTTTTTGCAATAACAATACTTTGCAATTAAAAAATGAAAAATTTTTTGATAATGCTACCAATGGGGAGTCAGAACCTACCAGATGCAAAAGGTTTCGTTCCGATCGGTCCATCCAGCTAGGCGTAATGCGCGCACATACATAGAAAAAAAAAAAAAAAAATTATACTGATCAAATTGAGTAACCTCCTCCTTTTTCGAAGTCGGTTAAAAAATATTCCTTTCTTCCTGACCTTCCCTTCCAGTGCGCCTTTGGCGTGCTTCCCTGTGGAAGGGGAAGATGAAAGCCAGGGTGGGTGAAAATTGGATCCAAGGCGAAACTAAGAGTCCCAAGAAAACTGTTTTTCGTCACGGAAACCCTTAGTCTCAGCCATAAATTAGAAAATTTTATTTCCATGAAGACTGTGATGCGAAAAATACAATCTACATGAATAGTGCGTTAGTGTTTGTTAATACCAATACTACCCATATGTTAGCAACTCCTTCGCAATTGCTTAACTTAAATTCTATTGAACATGTATAGGCGAAACTAGAAAAAATGTGCGAAAACGTGATATAACGTCGAAAGAACACTAGAAAGAAATATTAAAAAGAGAATAGTGTAATATAGAAACTGTCTTCGTTAAAAGTTTGCTGTTGTCAATGCCCGATATATTACGTGAAGTGATTCATCGGAAGAGTTATCCTACAAAATATTAGTTTATGAACTTTCTGCTAAAATAATTGTAGTAATAATTAAGTGTATGAATACTTTTGTGTCGGCGATTTCTTACAGTCCCGTGAATTTCAAGTCATTTCAAGTTACTATGTGATGTTATTGTCTTCGGTTTTGGGTCATTTTTTGCTGTAAGTGTAATGTTTAATATACAGCTACATACGGTTAAATATACATAATAACATAGAAAATATATTGGTATTTTTATTTCTATACTAGGGGACTGTGCGCCTTGACTGCTTCGCGGTCCAACCCCCCAAGGCGCTTCGCGCCTATTTCGTGTGCATACACTTCCAAAGTGACATGGTGCGTGGACTGGAGAGGGTAGTGTGAGGCGTGATAGAGTTACGCGTGGCACCGTTACGTTATGATGATTTTATACTGTGTGACACTGTTATGTTATGATTTTATACTTATAGAGTATGATATATAACCGTGATACCGTTACGTTATACAAATACTTCTGTCCTCCACTGTATGTCACTCCATTCAGTAATAAAATGTCTTCAAATCACTGTGGGAAAATAGGAAAATGATCATTACCTTTACATGATATGTTTCAATGTAACGTTAAGTGCACGTTGCATAATGGCTAGTATAAAATACAGAGCAATTATTTCTTGAACATAAAGTGATGCCATATCTCAAGCAGCGTCACCAGTATTAACAGCCGTCGTTTTCTGCGACAAGTGGAATGTTTCTTACATATATATTGTATAAAAAAAAAATTTTCAATCATATTACTGCACAGTGTTGTCCGATTCCGTGTCGACGCACGTGATCTACGTCATGTGATTTTTCGTTAAAACGACGTTTCGGGAGGAACTTTTATATCAGAAGTTGAGAAAAGAACTATCTCAGAATGTCTGCAAATGGAGTTACGTGTTGTAATAACAAGAAAAGAAACTACGTGTTTTGAATCTACATACACCCGAAAATCACTCGTTTTTCTATTTTATTGATGGTAATCCCTGCTATACGGTAGTGGTCGTTCGTTGTACTTCAAAAAATTTTGGTGTTTCTGTTGTACGAGTTTGTTATATGTACAGAGTAAGTAGAATTTGTCCATAGATTCCTTGAAATTCTAATTATTTACTAGGTTTTTTTATCATAACGCCAAGTTTATATAGAAAACTTTTCTTTTACCTTCAATTCTATTTTCTCCTTTTGTATGTTCTTTCTGCCCAAGTTATTGCACTTTATCCAATCAACCATTGCTCAAATTTTAACAAGTCATATCAGGCAAATGAATCATCGTACAGAAATAAGGAAAAAAGCATTTTGAAAGTCAAAAATCAACAATTTCAGACTGTCCGATCAGAATATATATACAATGAATCAAAATTTATTGTCACGTCCTGCTTAGTCCTATTCTTCAATCTTCAATCATATTATTATCATATTATGAGATTATTTAAAAGAAACAAGTAATTATAGTAGTATCATGCGCAGCTGCGTTCGCATATTCAAAACTAGTAAACCTGATCCACATCTTAGTGGATAGATGTTTTATTCCACCTTAGAAAAGACTCTAAATTTTGTGAAACAAAACAATTTTCTGAATTAAATTCATAAAAAATTTTTGTTATCTATCAACATTGGTATATAAAATGTTGACATATGTGACTTTTAACAACTGCACATTTGCGTAACGTTTTCAGCACTCAACAGTCTCAGAAAAACGACGAATCTCTTTAAAACGGCAGAATGTATATCGTAAATGTAACAATTTTTTACAGCTGCATTGAATAGTAAAAAAATTATTATAGCAAAATGTATATACCGCACGCTTTGAATGTTACTAAAAAACATTCCTGGCATTAAAGGTCAAATATTGAATAATAATCAGTTGACGGAAAGATTGAGAAGTTTAATAGTATAGTAAATAGTCAGTAAAAAACAAAATTATTTAAGTTTTCAACGTTTTATTACCATTTACTTAACATTAACGTTATTAAGAGTAAGAAACGTTCTTTAATACCATTCCTTCGTAACTAGTCGATTAATCTAAAGTGACGTTGATTATCCTACATTGTTTAGACAGAACACATCTTAATACGTTAGTTACTACGTCAGTTACCAATGACCGACACTGAACTTTCCATTCAAGCTGCATTGGTCATTGGTGAATGACAATATAAAATACGATATGAAACTAAAAAATCACACTGCTTTCGTAAATTATGAGTAATTCCAGGATCATTGTTGTACTGAAATATTACCTGAATGGATTTTTTGAAACAGTTTAAGCAAAAAGAATAAGCAATACGCACTTATAAGTACTGCGTAGCCTGACCGTGATTTCTTCATAAATGCGCGAGGCAAATAGCATGCTGAAATCCAAAGATAAAGATAACATGTGCGAACGATAAAAGTATTATATTTAAATATACATTGCGAATAAAACAGATCTTGTTGGTCCTGAATAATGATGTTATTTATAACTACAGCAATTTCAGCTATTTAGAGATCTGAGGTAAATGTTTTAACGTTATTATATAGTCGGAATACAACAATGGAGATATTGGGTATAAAATTTGCACCGTTGAATGTGCCGCTGAAACGGAGACTGGAAACACTATCAGTCACGCTATGGTTCTTCATAATGTGTTTTGGTCCTGTGCTTTCTTTTGTTATTATTGGCTATCTCCTCTTTTTTACCACGACTATACGCTACTACGTTTTGCTATATTTTTTGTGGATGTATTATGACTGGGACACGTGCAACAAAGGCGGTAGGAGGTAAGAGCTGTTATTTTCTTTCTTTATTCTGTCTTTAGTTTCTTATACTGGGTTACGTTAGTATCAAATATAATATTAAATATAATATTTTGGAGAAATGCTATGCATTTCTGGTAAGTGTATTTATGGTTTCGATTAGATAATTTAACCTATCTTCAGAATATTGTCGTAGGTATAATCAATCCAATTGTACATCATCCAATAACGCATAATAACGTAAAAGGTGAAACTGCTATAATAAATGTGATATTGATACTATTATTACTATATTATTATTGTAACGTCTGAAGAATGTTAAAGAACACTTTAATTCCAATTCATTTGATTGGATATTTATCACTCGTGAACAAAATTTTCAGATAATTCGTTATTAATCTCGAGAAATAACTCAAAACATTTTATCAGAAATCAACGAAAGCTCTTTGTCTTAATTTCAGTACGAAATTGACGAATATGATGATAAAATCCCGATGGATCCAGCATGTTTTCGATTTCTTTCCCGTGACGTTGGTAAAAACCACCGATTTAGACCCAAATAGAAATTACCTACTCTGCAATTTTCCTCACGGGATATATGCTTCAGGAGCAGTGGGTTCTTTTCAGTGTGAAAGTAGAGGTGCTAAGACATTGTTTCCCGGTTTGCTACCTCATGTTGTCGCGCTGTATCAAATGTTCAAGATCCCCATCTTTCGCGAGATCGCTCTCGCCATGGGTGCGTGCTGTCATAAATAATTACAAATTATTTGTTTACAAATACTGTTGACTTGTCGTATTGAACGTTTCCATAATCAACTCAATTTTACACGTCACAAAATAGACGCAATCATTGAGAAATCATAAGACTACTGAAAATTAATACACTCTATCACATCCGAGTTGTATATGCTATCTTGCGATTGGACATCTTATTTGCGTGCTATAAGAAATTGAATTTTGCACATTGTTTTTTTTTAACTAGATATATTATGATATTGTACGATTTGTAATAACAGTGTATCAACAAATTATTACAGCCACAGAACAAGACATGTGGAATACGGAATTCAATGTAATAAGACAGATTTCTTGATCGTCTACACGGTATTAACCCGTATATTTGTAACTTGCAAACACATTCAGTGGAGGACAATAGTATTCGTACAATTAATTATTACTACAATTATTTCAGCAGAAAGTTTATAAATTAATATTTTGTATGATAACCCTTCCGGCGAATCATTTCACGTAATATATTGGGCATTGCCAACACCAAACTTTTAACGAAGTTAGGTTGTATATTACACTATTTTCTTTTTAATATTTCTTTCTAGTATTCTTTTGACGTTATATCATGTTTTCGCACACTTTTTTCTAGCTTTGTCCATACATGTTCAATAGGACTATTGCTACTAACAACCACTGACGCACAATACATATAGGGTGCATGTTACGCGTCACAGTCCTAGTAAAAAGAAATTCATTTAATTCATAAATCTAATTCATTCCAATCTATCTGCATTATTTTGTAAATTTTCTTTTAAAATATTTAAACATAAATGTTTATCAATTATTTTATCTGTTATTACTAAATTGTCGCCTCCAGAAGCAGCAATGCATCACATTTCTACTTCCGCGTTTCGCCGTTGTTTGCATATATTTTTGAAATCCAATTCACTAACAGCTTTCTTCCATACATTTTTACTATTGTCCGACTTCAAAATATTAAATTTTAACTCTTCGGAAAATACTACGTTTTTCCACAAGTCGTCTGTAGCATTTATATATTGTTCCGCAAATTCTACCCTTTTTTTGTTTACTTGCTTATGAGTGGCTTCTTCCTCGCAACTTTACTGTTATATCCGTCCCGATATCGATCACTTTTCGTACTGTTTTAGAATCAATTTCCTTCAGCACATATTCTTTAAGGTGTGATGCAATTTCAAATGCACTAGAATCTGTTTTTTTTTTAATAGTTCAGACGATTTTACGTTTTCCTCTCGTAGTTAATTTTCGAGGTCAACCGGTTTTTTTTTTATTTCGCAATATTCCTTCTTTTCTATACTTGTTTATAATACTTTGTACAGTTGATCGAATTCTTTTTAGTATTTCTGATATATTCCTATATGATTTAACTTCTTTGTGTAACCATATAACAATTTTTCTTTCGTCTAATGTTGTTTCTTTGCGTTTTCTCCCCATATTGCAAATATGAGTGTTAAAGTGTACTCGCCATGATTACTACTGACTATATTAACGTAACATCATGTTATGTAATGGTTACATTCCTCAGAATGACCTGCTATCGTAACTGTTGTATTTATCATCATAAATGATAATGTACTAATACTTTCCTCTTTCACTGTATATTTTGTGAAAATAATACGAAGAATTTTCTAATATCACTCTTGTTCGAAAACTAATCACTTAAATTAAATATCGTGGTTTCGTGTAACTCTCATGATATCATCACATATGTATTGTACATATTGCTAGGATATATTTGGGAAACTTACACTATCCTTCATCACCCTTCAATCGAAAAGCCGTAAAACGTAAAACAAAAAATCGATTTACGTGAAGTCTATTGACTTTTATTAAACACATCTAAAGGTTAAATGCGTTAAGAAATAATCGTTATTGTATATTTATATGTATGACACTTTTATTTGTTCATAATAAAGTTATAGTTAACTCATTGAATTTTTATTACAGTTATTCGTTAAATTCTGCAAATGCATTTTAATTTCATTGTATTATAGGTTTCGTCAGCAGCAGTGAAGAAAGCCTGGACTATCAGTTGTCGACGAAACCTCAGCCGCCATTCATTGGAAGACTAATTGTTCTCATCGTCGGTGGAGCAGGGGAAGTATTGGAATGTTCGCCAGGAACAAATCGTATTATCGTATACCAAAGAAAAGGATTTGTGAGAGTGGCACTGAAACATGGGTTAGATTATTTGCAATCTCTTTTAATTAAGTGAAACAATTAAATTCTAAATAGTTTTCATGAGTAATCCATCACTGACTTTAAAATAATATTCACAATAACCTTGACGAAATAGCAATTATCTTTACATGATTGAGCTATTATTACCATTTGTTAGGAAATAACTTTTAATGCACAATTACGATATTTATGTAAAGACCAGTATCAATTAACCTCTTAGGAAGGGCTGAATTTTACAATGAATAAATTGTAATAATCGTAAACGATACAGCAGTACATGTGAGACGGATAATGCTGTTCTCTACGTGAGGACATTAGCATCAAATTATAATTTTGGATATACTTCCGATTGACTTCCATGGAATTCTGTGCTGAAATTTTTGTTGCATATACTACTTTCCACGGGCATTCTATATCCATTGTCAAAATCAATGTATCTGTAATGGTTTGTTAGCTATTCATATTTTAATGCTTCAGTTGCTTATATTATTGTTCAGTGAATCATTAATGCAAAGCGAAATACACAAATCAAAACATGACCTAACATAATTTATCGCCATTAATACACTGAACGCGATGCCGATTTTACTATGCTTTGCACTTGGCCGGTAGCGAGCGAATATTTAGCAACCAGCGCGATGTTTGGGATGAGGAGAATAAACCGAGGACTACTTTGTTTCACCTTATTATGTTTCTTTTCAACTGGGACGGTGATGGCGTTACAAGTAGAATTTTTTACAGATTTCCAAGGAAAGAAGGAAAGGATTATATTAATATTGGAATGAACTTGAAGTGTGAACATCTGCCGGACCATAAGAGACCCATTGATTTTGACAACGAATATGGAATACTCATGGAAACTTGTATATGCAACCAAAGTTTCAGCACTGAACTCGATGGGAGACATTTGGAAGTACAGCCATAATTTTTCTCAAAAACATGAAACACATATTTTAACATATATATTATATTTTTGATAATTCGATTTTTTACAAATTCCACAAAATATGTAAATATTTCCAAATGTTTCTACTTTTTTACATGTAATGTACATATGTGAGATTTGTTAATATGTACTCTTACAAAACGTTGGGCAGACAAAACAGCATAAATTAAAACATATAAGTATGATTATACCACCAATAGTAGGGTGGCGTGCGTAAGACGTTAATAATGATAGCAGTTTTATTAGAATATTTGCAATTATTATCAGTAATCCAAATTTAAAAATGCATTTAAAATTCGTCGAAAGTAACGTGATAAGAATAATCTTAAAATAAACATTAGTATTCTATCTGATCGATGAAGATGCTCGTAAATGGAACTACATATTCATATAATACTCGTCAATGAACTTTTTCTTTCGGTGTTTCTTTAGGACACCATTGATACCGTCCTTTTCGTTCAGAGAAACGGATATATTCGACCAGGTGAAAAATCCCTGTTTAGCGTTGGTTCAGCAATATTGTCGTAAAAAATTGGGATGCGTACCTGTGATTCTGAAGGGTCGTGGATTGTTCCAGTATTCTTATGGTTTTGTTCCGCATCGGGTGCCTATAACTACCGTTGGTAAATATCTCTTAATCATTCTGAACAAATTATATATTTTACGTGCATAATAATATTGATTAAATTTTGTGCCTTTTATTTGAGGAAGCCAATTGGATTTGTTAATACCTATTGCAATCGAAATGCTTATGTAGAATAATAATTGTTATTAAATGCAATTGACGTGATACACAAAACTACTCAAAGATTAGTGTGTATTGTCTATTTTTCATTTTAAAACTGAACACAAATAATGCCTTCATTTATGAAACGTTAAGAACAGAAATGATCTCTTGTAGAAGATTTTTACAAGTCTTATTCTCCATTTTTCAGTTGGCAGTCCAATAGAGATACCAAAAATATCACATCCTACAAAGGAACAGATCAACGAGTACCACAAACAGTTCGTCGAAAAATTAACGGAGTTATTTGAAACCCACAAGTATAAATACCTACCTGATGCAGATTCGAAACATCTCGAGTTCGTATAGTAACAACTGTCTATAGTAAAAATTACGTGCTAATAATATTTCAGCGAACAATTGTTGTTAATTGTTTAGCGGCCGGCAACGGTGAAATATGTACTCAAATAAATATTCTTAGTGTAAACGAATTAGTTCTTTTTATTCATACCAACGGACCCTGACCTGTTACAGCTTTAAAAGTGAGATCTAAATAATTGTGTAGTGTAGTTTCTATAAATTTCATTCTAATGTACGATAGCGTGAATTATATAGCAGGCGATTGCGAACAATGACAACGTTGAACAATGTTTCTGATCATTAGTGAGAAATTGCAGAAAACGTCCACGAAACAGATTCGTGCGTTGTGTATATTCATTAGAGGTGACGAAGGTGAGCGCAATAATCAAAAGTATTTATGATAATTGCTTTGCCGGACTTGGTTTTTGGGAATCTAAAGAGTTTCATCCAAAAGTAGTGTGCGCGCTGGTACCATTATGTTTGGAATATGCTAAACTTTGATGAAACATCAAATATGTCAGCACATACTATATTCATATAAGTAAAACGTGGCTATTGTTCCGATAATTTCGAAATCGGAAGAGTATTCGGAAGACGAAGTAACGAATATGATTCAACAATGACCGATGAATACGGATACGCGACTAGCATCCGCGAAAACAATATCACGGGTAGATATAGTGTTGGATATCGCTTTAGGTTAATCAATATATTTATTTCTTTAGATTAATCAGTATCTTTATCACTCTAAAATAGTCAATATTTTTATGTTCGAAACTAAATCCCGTCAGCTTTCCGTACACAATTAGTTACACGACCCTTAAACCCTTACTCACTGACTCTGAATAATACGCCTGTTTTCTTGACACCCTACAATCCCTATTCCTTGAACCCAATTCCTTAAAAGAACCTCCGAAGCTTCCCAGAACGTCTTTTAACATTATCATCTTAATACTCGAGTTTAAACAGAAGTTGAATCACAGCGAGATTCTAGATCCTAAGTGCTTATTGTAAACTGATTAATTAATTGGAATCTAACAATAGTTACACAAACGTTATACCGGAGAAACACCAGAATTTACGCTGTATTTTTTTGGCACTTTAATAGACGGATGGGTATCTAGTGGAAAGTTGGATCCGAGACACTGAAGGAAATATTTGGTTGGTCGAATTTATAAAAATTCCTATTCGTGGAAAATTGCTTAACGACTCTGACTAAATTATTCGTACAGAGCGAATAAACCATTATGACCTGGAAGAAGCTGAAATCTCTTATCATGGACGAATTTTCGTTGAATATAAACAGTGCGCAGTTACAGCAGATGTTGCATAGGCGAGAAATGCGATGGAAGGAATCGGTACACGATTACTGCGTGGTAATAAAATAAGTCATTGAGTGAAATTACATTGAGATCGAGGCTTACATTTAATATATCGTCGATGGAATTCTAGACAATCTCGCGAGCTACATGTGGCTCTTTGAAGGATTATTTGCAGCTCTCGATAAATGTACCCAAGTTCCCTTTTCATTTTTGTGCTATTGTATGCTAAAAAATTATTATCGTTCCGTACGTGTTTCAAAATGTCTTTGAAATTACTGACGACAAATATGAAAGACTAACAAGGGACATCACCAAGGTGTCACACGCGGATTTTAATGAAATTGATATATGTGGTAGCTTTTTAAAAATCATTTGACACGTATTTTTTTATATCTGCGGACATGCATGTTGAGGGGGTGAAAATAGCCCTCAAAATTCGGGGTTGAAAACACATTTTCTTCAATATCTCGGAAAATAGAGGATGTAGGAAGGTGAATTTTTTTTTAAATTGTGTAGTTTTTAGTCAGAAATTTAGTTAGTGACAAAAATTTCGGGAGAAATTATTTGTTTAAATAATATATTAAAAAATTGGACTTTTTTTCAATTTTTCACCCTAAATGCAGTTCGACTTTTTTGCAGATTTATATACGAAAAATATGGATCAAAATAGGGAATACGTGTTTTTGGAATTTTTTGTTTATTGCAATTTAGCAATAATTATTACATATACAATTTTCTCTTACCTTTTACGGAGAAATGAATTGAGATTTGTTTTCGAAGAGAGTGAGCCATTTTTATACGCTAATTTGTCACGTATTTAACAATTGGATAATATCAGATGTTTTTTGTTCCATCGGTAGCCAGGGAAGGTCCAGCGGGCAGGTATAAGTCCGCCGCGGTACCAGTCGTCGTAATACGGAACATAGATTTCTATGGCCAATGAAACTTTTAGCCGAAGGTATACTTTTATTTATTTGACTTTGTCAAAGCAACGTTGAACACAGTGGATAGAGTAATCGCTGTTTTAGATACGGATAGTCCTGTATTATTTTTCGTGGAACTTGAAAATAATTTTTTTTACGATTTCAGAAAGCAAAATAGCAACGCGCGAGATGAAGCAAGGGCGGTGGTGTTCCGCGCCAGAGCACCATCGCGTTAATATTAGCGCGATATGGAACGGCCGCTCTATTTTGCTTTTTGGCATCGTAAGAAAAACGATGTTGCAACTTTCTATGGGTGAATTTTAAAGGTGAAAATCTGCTCTATCGCGTGGTATAGTTCAATTTTCCACTAGACCCATACTTTTTAAGATAAATTGAAAAATAGACGTAAAAATTGGTGCAAAATCCGTGTCTCTCGGCGTTCAATGACCATTTAAACATGTTTAAACATTCAGAATGCATAAAACGCAGATATCGTTGTATTCGGGAAAGTCTATAGAATCTTTTGATGCAAAAAGAATCTTAGTATTTTTTATAGTTACCTTACAAAATTGGTTTAAATTTTAAAAATGTGTTTTTTTTTCAAACTCAAATTTCTCAAAAACCTTACAAAATTGGTTCAAATTTTAAAAATGTGTTTTTTTTTCAAACTCAAATTTCTCAAAAACTGTGCGGGCTGAAGAAAAACAGGTTGCAGATTCGTAATCAGCGCGAAAAAAGCTATAAGAATCGCTGAACGAAAATAGAAACGCCAATTGGCTGTTGGACAGTTATAATCCGAGACAATTATGTATGTTTGAATATTGTATTCGAATGCTATGAATTAAATAAAAGTGGATCACTTCAAATGACCGTTGATTACAGAGATCTTAATAAATCAAAGTTATCAGATCATTTTCCAATTCGCAGAACAGATAATAAAATTGATTAATTACGAAATAATAATTATTTTACACAGTTAGATTTGAAAGACGGATTTCACTACATTCATACGAAGGAAAATTTAAATCAGATTAATTCATCTATTGCACAAATGAGACATGAATATGCACGTAAGACTCTTATCGAGTCGGACAGTCCTTCATTTTTCATGCGTTTTATTAACCATTTTTTTCGAAAGTTATTAGATACGCGATTGGGGTTGTAGGGATTTCGTGATTTAGGAATTTGGGGGGAAATGTAGGGATTTGGGGATTTTGGAAAGAAAATGGTTTATTTCCTTTCCTATCTCTCTTTTCCGACAAGCTAGACGTGCCCTAAGCGAAAGTTTAATTTTAGAATCGAAAGGTTCGACGGGCATTATTATAAGTGGACGATCATCTAATGATCACTCGGCCAGTCTGCGTTTTCCCAGTTTTGACAACGCGACGCCAATTTTCCTGCTACAATTTGCACAAATTTTTCGATCATTTGAAGGAGGAGTAGCTGCGACAATTTGTTTGCTCGAATAATTTCTTTTGCTTTCAACAAATTTTGTTTGCGGGAATCCAAATTATTTACTTATACCTTTATTCTTAATGTTAAAACAGGTTTTAAATGTTATAGAAAGCAGTTGCTTAGACTTATGGTTGAGGAAGTGTACTTTTCTACTAAGTGAAATTGAAACTATTTCTAAAAAACCTTGACCACATATCAAAAGTGATAAATAATATGCTGACGTATAGATGTTTAATAGTCTTTTAAGTATATTCAGTGCATTGAATATTTATTTTAAACTCTGAACTCTTAATAAATACAAACCACATTCACAAGTTTTTAAAGTTATTTTTACAGACACGTTGCAAAACATTCTCAGTACGTAACAGTGTTAGAAAAACGATGAATTTATTTAACATCAGAAAATGTCTATGGAAATGTGACAATTTTGTTGACTATATTGAAAAGCGAATGCGTTATTGTAGCAAAATGTACACTACATATGCTATTAAAAAACATGGTTGACGTACGAGACCAAAAACATTGAAAAAAATCAGTTCATGGGAAGATACGCTAATTTTATAGTACGATAAGAAATTATTAGAAATGAAGTCATTTCATTTTTCAGCTTTTTAATACTATTCATCTAACATTAATGTTATAAGGAAGAAGAAGTTTTCTTTTTATTAACATTCTTGTGTGACTATCTTCTTCTGCAGTTAGTGAGGCGCAGTTGTCGTCCGTCTGTAGGTAAGTCTCAAAATCTTTGAGGTCGATATGCCATTTTGACAAAATCTATGCAACAAATCGACCCCGGCGAAGAACCTGATAACTCTGACCTTTTAATCTGTGGACTTTTGTGCACCTCGTACAGAGTCAAGCTCAGAAACACCAAAACTAGGTAAATTATACTCTGACCTTTTAATCTGTGGACTTTTGTGCACCTCGTACAGAGTCAAGCTCAGAAACACCAAAACTAGGTAAATTATATTTGTTAGAGTTTCGCATAGATGAGGTTTACGACATGACGAGGGAAAGCGGTCACTTTTGATATCCTATAATTTAGTATCAGTGCCATCTGCGTGCCAGCACTACGATGGTACGTGACAATTTGTAGTTTTTAGCAGATTTATTTATTGCTGCACTATTCTTTAGAGTTTTTGGCTTCAGTGACACAGGCCATGTCATAAACCTCGAAGCCTAGAAGGTCAGGGGGCAACTCGGACCTAAAAAGTACCGTTTTAGGACACCGGGAACCGCTTTATGACGCACGGGGAAAAACCCAGAAATTTCCAAAGACTGCCGCCCTCCCCCGTGTAGGAAACCCCTGTTCCCCTGCCAGAAAGTACCGCGCTAAGGGCGCAATGGAAGGGAAAACCGGAGGTTTCAAGTAC